AACGCAATCTAAAGAAATGTAAATTAGAGTGAAATACAAAGAATTTGAAAGGTGAATCAAGCCAATCAAGTATATGATAATGGAATATACTTTATTAAACTCTTAGTTTTGTCTTTATTAATTTGCTTTTATTCTTCTTACTCAAACATATTATGAAGTTTCAATTGTAATTTAGTAATGCTTGTGTTGTCACTGTAAGGTCTCGATTTTTCTGTGCTTTTATCATTTATATACTTTGGTAATAGAATTTCTCTATTTTAGAACAAAATTTATAGATGAATCTATAAGTGAATTGCAAATAATCTTAGTTGTATAGTTAATAGAAAACATTATATATCAGCATTTTATCATCTAATTTAAAGGTAATAAAACTATTAATACCTTATGAAATTTTATCCTCTTTTGATTCTTGTAGCCACAAAAATATGTGTTTTATAAAAATTATGTTTTAAAATCTCGATTGTAGAAATAATATTTTATGAAAATATATTGTATTAGTACATGTTTTAATAGACATGAAAAAGAAACAATCATTAAAAAGAATTTTATTTTAACATGATTGTCACATGTGGCAATTACATATCTAAGATTATGACATATGTTAAATCATAATTTTCCTTTTTTTTTACTTAAATACTTAATCTAAACGAATTTATTTTTTTCTTACAATTTTCCTTCTTTAAAATACACTTAAACTAAAAAAATTTAAATCATAATAATTTCCATCATCGACTATTACTTCAATTTTGTAACTGAAGAAAATTGATTAGTTTTAAACTTTAATAATAGATCAGTATATATCGATATATTTATTTATTTGTAACTATATATAAGTTTTAAACCTTATAGATAAATATCAATGTGTATCGATGATATAAAACAATTATAGTTTTGTAAACGGTGGTTAATTATATTAATACAAATTGTGAAAGAAATTACATAAGCGTTCTACAGTCAACAATTGTACGCATTTTATAAGAATTCACGTCTACATCCCCATAAGTTTTACATAGGACTCACACCATACATATTTTTTGTACAATGCTAAAATTATCTTATAAACATTGTGTCCAGTAAACTGATAATTTTCCTTCTCACAAACTCAAAACATGGACCTGAAAATATAAAAAAATTAATCTTTAGTCAAACCTAGACCAATGGGCTTCCATAAAAAAATAGTTAATTATATGAAAATAATAAAAATATTTTTACAGTTCTCTTTTTGTTTGGAATTTTAAAGAAAATTCTTTATTTTAAACCAATGCCTACTGATTTTGTAATTATCTTAACCCATGTTTTTTGACTTTTCAAATATAATTTTATTTTAAATAAATACTACAACTAAAATAATTTATAGACTTCTAATTATTTTAAACACATATTATATTTGGTAGTGCAAATAATATTCTACAACTAAAAGAAAATTATAATAAATTTTGGTTTTAGAATTCTCTTTGTAAAATCTAAAATACTATTATATTTATAAGAATTTTTAAGATTTTAATTTGTATATAAAACTTAAAATACTGTTTTTCTTTGTAATTATTTTAAACCCATGCTTAGGAAAATAAATACTAATATTAATATCGTTTTTGTTTGTTTACAATATTTTGTAAAAATTACACTATTAATAACTATTTCTGAGAAAAAAATTGAATTCCTTTTTTTTTAACTTAAAAAGGAAAATTACTATTAAATCATTATTTTTAAGAAAAAAAATAAATTGAATTTAATAGTAAAAAGTAAATATTCTTTGTATTTTAATTTTCCTTTTTACAAATCCTAAAAAAAGATAATTATGAATTCCTTTTTTAACTTAAAAAGGAAAAATTACTATTAAATAATTATTTTTAAGAAAAAAATAAATTTGTTTAGTTTGAGTATTTTTTATAAATAAAATTGTAAGAAAAAAGGAAATTCGTTTTTAGTTTGAGTATTTTGAAAAGGAAAGTCATGATTTAAATTTGTTTAGTTTAAGTGTATTTTTAAGAAGGAAAATTGTAAGAAAAAAAAATCAAATATAATTTTATTTTAAATAAATA